AAATGTAAACCAATATTTCATTGTCGACCAAAACCATTCTGCTCTTGGTGTCATTGACGGTTGTATAAAAATATTAAGAGACTTAAACCAACCACAAGGTGGTGAAGCAAATGAAATGTCATATGACGACAAATATAGACACTTCTCCATGGCAAAGATGAGACAAGTTTTAAATATTTACAATAGCCGTAAACAAAAAGGTTTGGGAAACCACTCCCCCGAAGAAATGAAAAACAACCCCGACTTAGAGAAAGACTTTATATTTAACAATTTAGTCAAAAGGGATGAACAAGAAAGAATGCCAGGCTTCAAACTTCAGAAAGGTGACAAAGTAAAAATAGAAATACCTAAACGCGACCCATATGAAAATACTATTGACTATGACAACAATGGGAACCCGACAGGTACTCACATTCGTGTTCGTAAAAATAGAAGAAAGTATACAAGAATATTATGAAGTTTTAGGCAAACATGGCAAAATGTACAGACTGCAAGCAGAAGATAAAACTACTATTGTCAGACCTCGTTTCAAACTTGTCAAAGTTCAAGGTGGTATACTTTCAAAGACAGTTCCTAACAAATATAAGACAACTCCTGACGAATATGCTAAAGAAGTTGAAAATGACGACTAAGCATTTCTTACCATGCGTAAACTGTCATGTAAGGTGGCATGTAGTCTTTACTTTGTCCCGTTGTTTGCGTATACCCTGAAACGAAATGTGTATGGTTTCCTCCTACCTCAGTGTTACTCAGGAAACAATTTATAGCAAACTGAACGTTGTCTTTAACATCATATCCTTTACCTTTTGTCATTCCTGTCCAATCCCAATATTTATGCCTATGCCACCTTCTTGAGATGTAGTTAAACTTACGTAGTGACTGTGCGCAGGTAAATTTGCACCTGAAATCGTTTTACTTCCACCTGTTTCCTTTGAAGAGTTTGCACAATACAAAAACCTGTCGACTATTTGAGTCCAAGTTCCAAAACCAAGTACTACTTCTGGTCTGGTAGAGTTCATTGACGTATAAATAGAACCTATAGGATATACTGTTTGAAGTATTTCTGTCTTTAATGTTTGAAGCTCTGTTTTGTCAGCTTTTTTATCATATAAATCTTGAGCAGTGAATTTAACATTGTTTTCATCCTCCATGACATAGACATTTCTACATCTAGTGTATTTCATCGTCGTTATGTCTTCATCCGATGTTAAACCTTGTGGAAAGTTAGGAGGTTTCCAAAGTAGTATATCCCCACCAGTTCCATCAGCTCCTTCAACCGTTCCTTCAATATTTTCTATACCAACAGTTGCGAAGAAATCGTGTGTATGGTTCTTATCTGCTTTCTTTTCAAGGCTAACGTTTAAGTCTGTTATTTCAGAAGATGTATGTGTATGTCCAACGTCACTTTTCCTGTTTAAGGTTTCTTGTAAGTTTGTAATATTTGCAATGGTATGTGTATGAGTCTTTTTAGAATATTCGTTTTCAGCTCTTGTCACTTCACTTGACATTTTATTGTCAACATATGTTTTGTCAGCTTTCTTTTCAACATCCTCTTTCGTTGCATATGTTGCATCTGCTCTGTCATGTTCTTCTTGAACTTTTTCAATGACATACTCTTTGTCAGCTTTGTTGTCAATATCTGCTTTCAAAAGAAGTTCATCTATAGGCTTCTCGTTTAAAGTTCCTTTTGTTGGATTTATACAGACAGTATGGTTCTTATTGTCTTGAAACAGAAACTCATCTGTCATTGGGTTCATTGTCAGTTTTAAGTTTCCTTCTTTCAATGACTCAGATATCTTAGAATAGTTTGAAAAGTTTGTTGTGTTCTTATTTAGAGCTTGCATAATGAGTTGTCGGTTGTGTTGTATTTCTCTTATGGAAGCAATATCTTTCGACATTTTTATTCTAGATAAAATATGCTTCCAATAGAAAAAGAAAATTCTAGAGTTGCTACAACTAAACCATTAGATGAACTTTTTACTAATGTCGGTCAAAAGTTTGAGACAGATACCGTAAAGCATGAAGGCTATCGTTTTGACTACCCATTGAGATGGCTAAGAGACCCATCCGTCACAAAAGCTATTGGCTTTCGTAGAATGAAGTTCATTTCAGAAGCCATACATGGTTTCCCATTTACGGTCGGTTTTGAAGTTCGATACTATAACAAAGAAAAACGTATGTATGAGAAATTTGAACAGGGAAAACTTTTACAAGTGAATTTGCTTGTAAACTTAGAAACAACTCTTCAAGCTTTTCAAGAAAAAATAAACGATATCTATCTCGAATATGCAAAACAGTATAACATTGACGAAGGAGAGTACCATCTCGATATTATATATGACAGGAAAAATGCAACTGTTAAAATCAATAGAATAGAAGACCTTGGAGAAAACGTTTATATTTCTACAAAATATAACAACTTGGCATGGTATAGATTTTTGAGGATGTTAAATCAGCCTGCAGAATATCCAGTACACCCGAACTTTTATGAAGTCGAAAACCCTAATGGAACATATGAAAATGTTTTCGACCCAGATGCTATTATAGTTCATGCTTCATTTTCTGGTGCGCAAAACTCTTTCTTATGTCTGATGAATGACTTTTACGAAAAACCTACAAAGTTAATATGAACCGCCGAGTGGAAGTATTTCAGACTTTCAAGTATGGTTTACTACAGATGGAAGAAAGAGAATAATTCCATTATACCATGCGTTTTACTTAGAACTTAGTTTCATATACAACTACTATCGAACGGTAAAAATATAATTTTTAATACGGTTGAGGTGTTGGATTTGGTTGCCAACTAGACTGTGGTGCAGGTTCAGGCTGTTGTATAACAGGAGCTTGTTCTTCTGGTTCAGGGTCTTTAGGTATAATACCAACGAACTGACCTACTCTTTTACCAATATTTTTGACTCCGTTCCAAATTCCTCTTCCGACAGATTTTATTCCATTCCATATACCTCTTCCAACTCTTCTGAAGAAGTTTCCAATACTACTGAAGAAACCCATTTACTATATGTAAAAATCTAATGTTCCGCCTAGTCTCTTACGTTTCCTGTTGAGTTCCATGGCATTCTTTAACTGGAAGCTCATACATTCTGTTTCTCCTCTGGTAGAAAACATATTCTGGGTCAACTCCTGTGTTCGCGTCATCTGCATAAAGTTGTTTATATCCCACTTCAGGGTTTGTATAAAACTCTTTCCATCTCATATTTGCATACCATGGTGGCAAACCTAACGCAGCGTCATTTGACATGGCAGTTTGCATTTGTACATCTGTTGGCACTTGACCATAGTTTGCCATTGCAGTTTGTATTCTAACTTCATTTGGAATATTCTCTGGGTTTGGTTGTCCAGGTTGCTGTGCATTCGCTAAGTTCTGTGCGTCCATTTAATATTAGATAAAAATATCTCTTACGAGTACATATACTGAACATTTGCAGGCATTGGTTCATCTTCATATTCTCTGTACTTTTCTGCCACGTCAAATAAATAAATGACACAATGGAAAAAACCTAAAACAAGTAGTCCTATTTCAAACCACATTTACTTACTAATAAAATTTCTTTATTGTGACACTTTCTCCAGTTTATAGGACCTCTCTCATATTCTATCTTGTCATATATAAACTCATAGTCATGTATGTCCTCTAACCATCTCATAACGGTTTCCAAACCACTTTTATCGGATGTAAAGTAAAAGCATGGATGGTTATGTATAACGTCTAAAGTTTCTAAAGAGTCTCTCAAAGTCCAGTCTACTTGGTATTGAAAATCCCATGTGTTATAGAACGGCGGGTCCACTATAAAGAAAACATTTTCCTTGTCTTTATATTTTTCATACAAATCTGTCCAATGACATCTCACAAACTCTATACCCTCAATATATTTTTCTATGTCCTCTTTGAAAACATTTGTATAGTTAAGATATAAAACTTTTGACATAAGTGTTTCAATGTCATGAACTCTTATAGCACCACTATATAATAGTCTAGCAGATATACTATCCCAGTCTATATATTCTGCTTTTTTCAAAACCTCTCTCACAATATTTTTCTTATCTAATGGTATACGTTCCATCTTACCTATAGGTATCTTTTCTTTTAACTCTTTCAATATATTGTTTGTGTCTGGTATATGTTTGAGACGGTCCATATAGTTGTCGAAGTCATTGCATATAATCTTTGAGTCTGGAAATATTATATGGCACAAATGGGATATATAGAAACTTCCACCGAACAAATCTACAAATGTTAGACCATTCGGTAGTTTCTTAAGTTCTCTCAATATAATATCTTTACATCTACTCTTATTTCCAAAGAATGGTAACGGTGGTTTTGTAAAATTCATTTATATATAATAATAAAAATGTTTTTACTCGAAAAGTGACAAAACATGAAAACATATATAATTTGTGAAAAGCGACACATTATATAATGTTTTCGACCCAGAAGACTAACAATTTTCCGAATAAAAACTTCATTTATACTAAACATCTTCAGGGCTAGAAGGCACGAAGTGCCTGGAAGCCCCACTACCTTTTTTTTTTTTTTTTTTTTTTTTTTTATTTGGCTGAGAATAGTATGAAAAAAAGTTTAGAGAAAAAGAAAATTCCCATAATTCAATCTGATCTAAACAAAAACCACATCCAAAGAATATAGACTCGAAAATAATGTATAAGTAGGAGTCAGATCTATAATTGTCGTAGAAATTACATAGTTTTTTCCAATTTCTAAAACAATTCTTCAGTTTTATTGTTGATTACACATAAAAACAGAATTTAAGTGTAGGTGTATAGTATATTACGCATGACAAAATATAGTATTTACTGTTAGAGAAAATAGTATTTTTTTTCCTTTCATCTAACAGTTTGAATTATTGCTGTATATATATTAATTTAAGTATGCTCGATATAGGCTACTTTATTTATAAAAATTTCTTGAAATAAAAATTCGAAAACTAATATTGATTTAATACAAACATAATAGCAACAATTTATTAACCTGAAGATGCATCATTTTCAATATCAAGAGAAAGCTCATAAAGATAAGTAGAATCAAGGAATGGAAGTACATCTAACTTATCCTGAACTTGAATAATGGGTAGGAAGTAATACTTATGCTTCTTAAATGACAGAAATGCTTCTATGTATGAAAATGTCTTCAATGACTTTGAGATATTTAACATTCCGTCAATTGTATTCTTTTCTACATCGCAGTACTTGAATATATCCGAAAGAAGGATTCCGAGGTAAGGAATAATCGGTTTTTCTGTCTTTTGGGATGATTCATGTAATTCTCTAATCAATTTCATGTTGGAACCACCTTCCATGAAGATCTTATGCACTTTGTTGAAGAAATCTCGCTCTTTCTTTGGAAGTTGGCTGAAATGATTATGTAATCTGAAAACTTCTGGGGATTCAAAGCCTCCGAGTATGGCGTATGTATCGCAGTAGTTCTGTAAATCGAAAAGGCATTGCATTACATCAATGAAATATGTCATGAGCTTAACTCTTTCTTCTGATTTTGGACTCATAATGATAAGTGTCGAAACCCATTTAGAAATAAGGTTCATATGGTCAATAATACTGACAATGTTAGGGCTTCTATGCTTCAAACGAGGATTCTGCCAACTTCCGTTCAATAATTCAGATCTTTCTACGGCATAATACCTCGAAGAAGTCCAGACAGTTATTTGCATCGATACTTCAAGTGCTGGCAAGTCTGTAATCTTGAAGGATCCCGTCCAAAGTGAGGTACTGCAATTTCCTAAATCAACGGGAGGAAAAGTGACACCAAATGGAAGGGAAGCACTGTCACTTTCCGAAATTAGTGGCTCGGAGAGAGGGCAGTTTACGATTGACTTGACTTCCTTTTCGTAAAAAGATTTAATTGCCTCTATAATCGGCTGTTCTATTTCAGAGGATTTTGTCATCCAGTTTTGGATTAAATAAAAGCATGACATGGCTGCTTCTCTGTTTTCTTCTTTAACGCAACGACGGAATCTATCTCTGATATGAATGAACAATTGCTGTGATGAAACAACGCTTTTATATGTCAGAAGAAAAGCAGATTCAACTTCACTGTATTTTTCTGAATCTGGTGGTGATGTAAGTAGAAATATCAATTGCTTAAGCGTGGCTGCGCGAAGACATCCATTATTATCAAAAATCGGGGGAATATCTTCTGAATCATCTGATTTCAGATCGTCAATGTTTGGAGCACCGCCAATTGTGCGTGAAATTTCTTCATCTATAGCGGTCTTCCTTTCTTCATCTGTCATTTCAGTACAATTTTGGGTGAGATCCCAAAATCTTTCTGCTTTGCTTATACCGCGCTGTATCAAAAACGTGAGTTGCGATTTCTTCATATATGCAGGTATGTCCATAGGTGCATTCCATTCTGAAAGTAATGAAGTTTGAGTTCCTATTAAACCGAGTGTACGTAAGTGCTGTGAAATAAGTGATAAGAGAATTGGTTGCTGTATGAGTCTACTTGAAGGTAAATATAATCGTCCAAACTTTGCAGCTCTTGAAATCGGATTAACTCGTTCTTTATATTCTAAAATTTCAGGATTTTCTTTTATAGCTTGAGCATACCAGTGCGATCTATCTATAGTTTCGTCAGAAAAATAGTTCCTGCAAAAAAAATCGTATTCTGATGAAACAGGTAAAGGTTCTCTTTCGATCATAGGCTCATTTTCCTCTTCTTCATCAAGGAAATACATGGAATTTACATAAGATATAAAAGGAGATGATGACGGTGAAAGAGAACCTGGCAATGACATATTTTTCTGACATGTTTTTTTTTTGCCAAAAATCTTCCAAACATCTCTAATATAGAATTCATTAACAAACATTACTGGAATAAGATCATCTTTCAAATCGGAAACTTTGCAAAATCGAGTGAATATGGTAGATGATTGATGTATTGAGCACAAAATTATAAGTTTTACAATCATTGTAATACAAAAAGAATAGCTTTTACTCAAAACACAACATATTCAAACGAATACAGAAAAATGTCTATATTTTTATTTGTATCCCGAATGTTGCTCTAATTTCGATCTGATCTTTAAACATTGAACATAAAATCTGCTAACAAATTAGAGTGCTAACTCATTTGCCATATGGAAGAGTACAAATATTGGCCAATCCATGATCACTAAATTAATTGAGAAACAATTTACTGCTGTTATTTCTATCTCATAATTATCTATCATTCGGATGTAACGAAGATCCGATTTTTTTATCCAAAAATCATTCCGTTTCGACCTCATAATTTATACAATATATTGAATACTTGTCGGATATATTTTTGACACGGGGATAAAAATAATTGAGGGAGGCGTTCAGAAAGATAAAAAAAGCGATTAAAAATATCTGATGTCCTATAGATTACGTCTGAACTCCCAAATAGCATTTCAAAGTTTAATTCCTACGCGACGCGATGAGGAAGTTAGACTTCTTGCATCTCATCTGAAGAATGATGATTTATTTGGGAATAAAGATGAGAACTTTGAAACATGGAAACATGAATACATTGTTCCATGGAGCACATTGCTTGATATTTTTATCGTTTTACTTTATATATTCTTTGCACTTTCTTATCAATCAACAAAAATGAGTCTCGTTCACAATTTCAATCAAATTTTCGATAATTATTTTATGGGCGATGCAGATTCAGATACAGATGGCCTTACTTATCTGTACTATCATAACAAGTTTATTGATGTAGTTAAAAATGTCTCTGGACTATTTTTCACTTTTGTTGATTCATTCCCATCTCAAGAACCATTTCAACGGAGTTCAAATTTAACTATTACAGTTATGAAAAAAGGAAAACCAAATCAGCAATTTATTATTTGCCCAGAAAACTTATCGTTGGTCGAAGATATAGCAAATACTGCTTCTTCGTCGGTAGATTTTCGTGGTCTTATATGTGATGTTGACTACTTAATTAATAGAAGCGAGCCAAATAATATTATCATGATGACCATTAAGTACTCAATGACATTTCTCGATGTTGATGAATTAGGAATCATTGAATGGCGCTCGCGTCTACGAAAAACAGAAACCAAGATTATTGGTGGTAAAAAAGTTCAAGATAGGCTAAATGCAGAAGTATTTCCCATATCGATCTTAGTAGTTGATGCTATTGCTATGATATTTTCATTCTCAAGATTCATTTCTTTCTTCAAACATGCGAGACAATATGCAAAACAGAATTACGTTTCATTTTACAGAGCCGTTATGTGGAAAGTTGATCGCTGGGAACTTTTCAACCTGAGTTACCAGATCTTAACCTTCGTTTCAATTTTAACATTTTTAATCATCGTCGAAGATGATTTCGGAGCCCATAGATGGCTCTTATGTTTACTAGGAACTGCTGGATTCGTCCATTCTATGGGTCTCTTCAGATCCTTAAGAATGAAGGAAGAATTGTGGCTTGTGTCGCGTTTGACTGGCCGTAGCTTAGGCCAGTCATCAACGTTAGCATTTGGATTCGTTCCTATTTACCTCGGATTCGTTTTCATGGGTATCGCGTTTTTCGGATACTTCTGTAACGTATTCAAAGGATTTTTAAGAACAATTAAAGTTCTTTTCTCCATATTCCACTGTGACATTGTCATGGATACAGTCGAACTGGTGAAAGAATTTGCGGTTGTTCCAGATTGGTTAATTATTTCATATATTGTTGTATGGACCAATCTTACTTGTGGTATAATCATTAATGTTATCATTTCAATCGTCGAAGTTACATTGGATGTTTTGATCCATGAAGGCTTAGGCGCAACAACAACAAATAAAATTAAATAGAGTGTTTTTAATACATTATATAAAATCTAGCATGTGATATTGCTGACAATTTATTTTTTATGATATGAAGTTAAGTTAAGGCTAAATTCAAAATTAGAATTATGCGGAAAAACAAAATCCGGATATATGAGTTGTAAAAATATTTTGATTTGTATATTCTGATTCGAAATTAGTCAAAATATCGTTATGATGTGATGCAATGAATGAATACATTTGACAACAATGGATTTCATGGGAACTATCATTAATTCATCAATAAATTTTGTCAAGAGAGTTCCAGCAAAGAATATCGATTTCCTTACAGAACTAAAGAGCAAAAGCTCCCCGAAGATACAAACAAATGTAATGGAAAAACTCAAGACATGCTTCATCGATAGTTTTCGGGATTTAATCGACTACAGCATTCCTTACTTAGAGTCAACAGACCCAGACTACCAAGAATTTTCATCAGATCCGAAAATTCCTCTTTACGCAGCTGTTTCAAAGATCGTAAAGTCGACACAGTTTGAATGGGCTACATACCCAGGAGCCATAGTACTCATCAGACGTATTACAAATGGACACGATAAAAAAATCAGTGTCAATAATATGCAAAGACTTATGCTGATCTCATTATTACTAGCGGATAAGTTCATTGAAGACAGTCCTGCAAGCAATTATGACTTTGCGCATGCCTTAGGATATTCTTCAGTACTTTTTATTTTCTAACAAACAGGAATCAGTACAGAGTTTCGAGATTGAATATCTTGAATGTTTAAACTATAACGTATTTATCTCTCGACGTGACATTGAGTCCATTTTGATGGAATGGGGTATAGACATTGAATCTATACAACTTTCTTGAATAACGAAAATAACAGAAAATTTTCTACGTTACAGTTTTATTTGAATATTTTGTGAATGAATAAAATATTATCTCTTATCAACCATGAAACTTTTTGAGTATAAAAATCCTCACAATTATTTTTCAATGGTTCCAAACAAAAGTACAAAAATTTCTGGAATAGACTAATAATTTGTAGTACAATTCTTTTATAATTATTATTTTCATCGAATTTTTTTTATTCAAAAAAATGGCTGTTGTTGCTGCCGATGATGATAACAGCGAGGAGATGTCTCAAATTCATGAAGAGCCATTTCCAATACCACGTTTGATGAAAATACCAAATCCTAACCCAGCCTTAGTTCCAAAATACTCAGCCTTAACTGAAGATTTCAATTATGATCTATTTCAACTTTATTTCAGTCTTGTAAATTATCACGTGAAATCATATGATCTCAACCCAAATCAAGAATTCTCACCAGCTTTAGAAACATTTTGCACAGCATTCGATAACGAAGGTGACAACGAAGACGGTGAAGGTGAAGGCAAAAAGAAGCTTGATCCGAAGAAGTTAGCAGAGCCAGAATGTGTTATCGGTCGCAATCTTATAGTTAGAAAGTTCCTTCTTGAATGTCAGAAAAAATTCTTCGAATTAACAACAACCCCTTCGCTTACAAAGATTGCTGTCCTTCATAACGAGCTATTTTACGCATCAGAAGTTCTTAGACAGCATAACCCAGATCCAGAAATGATGAACTTCTGCGATATGCTTATGGCCGATACGTTCGATCTCTACAACGCAGTTATTAGTGACATTATCAATAACCAGTACTGGGGTGCAGGGAAATCTGTTGAAGAATTAATAAGTGATCTTCTAAAGAAAGAAATTCTTACAATCAGAAACTTGAACAGAGAAACATTCCAAAGAATGTCAACCTGCGCAATTCAGCGTGCATTAGATAAAGCTCCCCCAGCCCAAGCAGGAAAAATTAAGGGTTGGGCAAAGGATAATGATATTACAATCGACTCAGATGGCAAATAAGCTTATTCATCTTTCTTTTTCATTACCATGGATTTTTTTATTCATTTGTAAAATTATAAATATTAACAACACCATTTTTTATTAAATACATACTTACATACATTCTCATATAGCTGATTGTTATGCTAACCTTAAGACTTTTTATTATTTAGGGTGGCGGAAAGTGATGTGACGGAATAACAAAAAGTGTCTATTTGAGATCCTTTTATTATTGTAGCATAACTAAATAGTGTATATAAACAAGTATTTACTACAAAGTTTGCATAGTCTGATGTCTTTATTTGGTAGGGAAATAATAGACCTATTTACCATTCATTTCCAGGAATAAATTTTTTTTGCATGACCCCCTACCCATGGTTCTAAAATAGCATATTTTTCTAAAGCATAGGGACAGAAGACAGCTAGACAATTTTGAATAGCAGAACATCTAGGAGCATAGCTAGGAGATAATAAATGGACAACTTCCTTGCAAATCTGAGAAGGTAACGGACATGATTATTCAAGATTTGATCATGTCATAACTCACCCAATTTAGATGACACAAGCCTGAAATTTTAGCACTATTATGCTGATAGGCTATTGTGAATAAACAGATCACCGTTTCGAAATTTCAAAAATATTGCAAAATATGATAAGCTCAAAATTATTCAAGCATGTTGAAAAACAGATATTTTATTATATATGGCATAAATTTTCTAAATGTACTTTCTAAATAGAGCAATCTCAAAAAAGATATAATTCGAAATAATATAACTATTCTGAAGTGTATTATTCTTATAAAATGCATTCCAATGAGCACAGAAGCAGGAAAATATAGAATTTAAGCTTATTAGCTAAAAATATATAAAGAAATATGATTTTGTCATTTAACCATTTAATATATGCGTTTAGCAAATTTAAAATTGAATTTATTTCTTATTTAAATAATATTTAATAAGTTAGTTTATAATGAAATAGATAAATTAGAAATCTTTTTTGAATTGCGAATTTTTCAATATAGATTAGATATTATTATGCGTTATATATCAATGTATTAAGATGGAAATTATAATAAATTAAGCAATTTTGATTTGTTCAATGTGGAAAAGAGAAAAATATGATAAATTTGTATGATTGTTATGTTTTTGAGTGTGATCAATGGTTGCATTAATTATATAATGATGGGGAAAACATTACTATGGATGATTTGAAATTTCACTCATTTTTCTAGTTAATTGTCAAAATGGTATCAAAGCACAAGTTAAATAGCATGCAAAGTTGTTTGAATTATGTTACCACTACATGTAGATTATATTGCATCATGATATAATATTAAAAAATATGCTCTAGTATAAAAAATTATTATTGCAGAGCAAAATGTCATTATATATGAGTTTATCAGATATTACAGTAAACATTATAGTTAAAATAGCTAATTGTATTCTAATAATTGTAAAAATGGTTTTATAGTTTGAATTATTAAGTGATTCAGCAAATAGAGATATGATTTTCTAAAATAAGATTGTAAAAGAGTATTTATACATATGTGCAGATATATTTTCAAAATATATCTTACAGTGTGCATAAAAAATGATGAGATATTTTATTATCAATATTTTGTTTTAGAAAACTAATAACAAATTTAATCATTTATGTTATTTTTGTGTTATTATCAGTAGAGAGTGAAGACAGCAAACAGCCCTTGGGCTGACAGGCGATTAAATACTATAAAATCGAATTTTTGCTCCACTTCTAGTATAGTACAATGGTTAGGAAACATCCTAGAAAAACTTGTTTTGAGGTTCATTTGCCGAACGTAAAACTTTTTTTGAAAATCTAAATTATCAGAAAAATATATATGATATTTTATGCTTTTTAAAACAGACAATACATAAAGAGTAATAACCATTTAGTGTTATATAAAATATTTAGCTTTTTAAATTATTAAATTTTAATTCGTTAAATTTTGTTCAATTTTAGCATCTCATTTGGACTATAATTTCATAACACGGTGTTTCTTAATCAAATTGCATCTAAATTAATGAGAAAAATTTTGAAATTTGAAAATTCAGTATCTAATTCAAATATCTATCTAATAGCATTTCTACAATCGCAGTAATTATGAGATTTCAGGTTCAGTTGGTTAGTGAAATTAAATTAAATATATAGTATAGGGGCAAATCTGTAATAATGATTGCGAGAATAAGATTGACAAGACTTTCTTGGCCGATCTTATGATCGAAATACAGTCATTTCTGGTACACTGTCAGTGCAGTGTATCAGAATTGACTGAATCTCTCGCAATCACATTCTGATTGCGAGAATAAGACCGACAAGACTTTCTTGGCCGATCTTATGATCGAAATACAGTCATTTCTGGTACACTGTCAGTGCAGTGTATCAGAATTGACTGAATCTCTCGCAATCACATTCTGATTGCGAGAATAAGATCGACACTATACTGCAATTGAGTTGTTGAAATTTTTATAAAGTACAGCACTACTCTTTCAAAAGGTACATTCACTAGGCGATAACAGTAAAATGGGATGAAAATAGGATAAATAGCATCCCTATATAGTGCCTAACAATATTTATACGGGCCAAAAAAAATTTGGCTAGAGATTTGGCGAGTTATAAAACTTAGAAAATTGAGAGGGATTTTTATTTTTGAATTTTTTTGGAAAGTTAAAATTGCGATTAAAAATCGATTTCCAGGAGAACTAAGCATCTCATCATATATTTAAATCGATAAAAATATTAAATAATAGTTGAATAGTATAACAACATGAAATTATGGCTGAATCTACAGAAAAAATGAACATATTTGACATTTTTGAAAATTCATACGTTAGATGGTGACAGACTCATAAACTATACTTTAGCTAAGATTGATATATGGTTTCAACAACACATGGTTAAAATCGTAAAAATATTTTAGATTTCAAAAAGATTTATATGGTAATATAATGGAACAAAGTCAACAAATAGCATGTTAAATATGTTATAATTAACTTTTTATTAGATCCAATAGTAGATATCGAATGGTTTCCAGCTTTATGGTTAAATATTTTCTTTTCGAGCTTCTCTTTAACTGTTGTATTAAGGTTGTAAATTTTTGATGCTAGAAACTATGGAATCTTCTTTGCTGCTGCATTTTTCTTGAGAGTTCTTGCAATTTCGAATAGATCTGCGCATTGTATGAAATGGAGGCTTTAAAATATCTTGAAAACAGAATAGGACTGCTTTTCCAAAGGAATGCTTACTTGTAAATCAGAGAGTTTCAAAATTGAGAGCAAGATTATCATCATAACTTTCGATTTTGCTGCGAAAAAGGAAGACAAGTAATTAACAAATCATTTACTGTTGTTCATCAAAAGAAGAAAACTTTGATAACAACTAATGATGATAAAATCAAGCTATCTTTTAATATTTTAAATTGATAAGACATTCAAAATATTTGAATGGTTTAAAATATTTTCTTTTAATTTCTATAAGATATTATCATGATTATATAATAAAATTTAAATTTTTATTCAAAAAGGCAATATTTCAAACTTTTAATTTCAAAAATCTTAATTCTGCAATAAGTGTATCTAATTGTAGCAAATTTAATGATCCTTCGTCATGCTTAGCAATTTGGAACTCATAAATTAATGATTTCTTCAAGTAAAATTCTGCATTATTTCAAAAGTCAATAATTCTCTAGTAACTTTTCTTCAAACCCTAACCATTATATTATATGTATAATGGAGAATAATTGCAAAGAAAGATAGCCGAATTTACTGGGTAGTTCTTGTGATGCGAAATAATTGCAAATTCACCCCTAGTTTTAACAGCATCAATCTCTTTTTGCTCTCATTTAAATGCATTCGCACACTTTAATTTTGAAATATAAGAGTTTTGGAAATTATCAAATTTATCTGCTCAAATACTATAGATCTTCATAAGTGTTAATAGAATCATTAGCCTTACATATAGTGTTTAATATAATGATGCACATTATACTGGGATTCATTCCTTATTCATCTAGTTATTATAAGATTTACAATCCCATGAAAATTTAAAATTTTGTCAAAAATAGTGAATGTACCTTTCTCTTTCAATCTATAATCGAAATCAATTTTCACATTTTTTTATCAAATTTTTTTTTTCATCTCAATATTATCAATAATGTCTATGAAACTTTTCCATTTCATATAATTTCATACTTTCTCTTAAATACATCTTTTAAACTAATTTATATTTGGATATTTTTATTTTGTGTTAGATATCCACAACAATCATTATCGTATTTTGGTCGTTGTGCACTTACATGTTATCTCAAAATAATGATTCAAATCTTATTTTAAAACGAATTAAGAATATGATTGCGAGAGATTCAGTCAATTCTGATACACTGCACTGACAGTGTACCAGAAATGACTGTATTTCGATCATAAGATCGGCTAAGAAAGTCTTGTCGATCTTATTCTCGCAATCAGAATGTGAGTGCGAGAGATTCAGTCAATTCTGATACACTGCACTGACAGTGTACCAGAAATGACTGTATTTCGATCATAAGATCGGCCAAGAAAGTCTTGTCGGTCTTATTCTCGCAATCAGAATGTGATTGCGAGAGATTCAGTCAATTCTGATACACTGCACTGACAGTGTACCAGAAATGACAGAAACAGACACAATAGACTCAATTGCACTATAGTGTCGATCTTATTCTCGCAATCAGAATGTGAGTGCGAGAGATTCAGTCAATTCTGATACACTGCACTGACAGTGTACCAGAAATGACAGAAACAGACACAATAGACTCAATTGCACTATAGTGTCGATCTTATTCTCGCAATCAGAATGTGAGTGCGAGAGATTCAGTCAATTCTGATACACTGCACTGACAGTGTACCAGAAATGACTGTATTTCGATCATAAGATCGGCCAAGAAAGTCTTGTCGGTCTTATTCTCGCAATCAGAATGTGATTGCGAGAGATTCAGTCAATTCTGATACACTGCACTGACAGTGTACCAG